TTTTAATACCAAATCAGAAAGGAACTCTGAAAACTCATCTAAAAATTCAGAGTAAGGACCTGGTGGACGATACAAAGTTACAAAAAGAAGAGGTTTTCCTGCCTTGAAATTTGGATCAGGGAAATTAAGGGTTAAATGTTCAAAAGAGTTGTAGGTATTAACTGTTTTGGGAGTAATCAGTAAGTCAGACTGGAAGATTGTTGCTACTCCTTCTCCTCGCCCAGAACTTCTGGGTATGTGAAAATTTAAATAGCTTGAAGGAGTTGCCTCATTTATGCTCACATAATCCTCTTGCTGCAGCCAGGTTTCTGTAAGGCAAAACAAGTCAATGTGATTATCACAAATCAAGTCATTAACTAGTAGACTTTGAGAGGAAAGAGATCTTATGTTAAACAGACCGCATTTAATTGTTTTAACTTTTTCCCCAATTGGAGTTATTTTAATTTTAATTAGATTATCATGATTTACTCCTTTGGGAATCTTTGCTAATTTATTAGATTTTGGTCGTGGGCAAGACACTGTCTGGATGGAGTAAAGAGTGGGTAACAGTAGAGAAGCTGCAGAGAGGTCTGTTAGACTAGGACTCTGCTTCCTGGTCTGCACCCTGGGGGGTCAGGGTTTTGGAGGACTAATAAATGTGGCCAGATTCCTAGAAAGAAGAGCTGCACCATCCAGAGTGGTATGGATGCCGTCTCTCCCAATCAGACCAGTGTCATGATCTGGCCTGTTTGCTCTCCATTAATTAGTAATTCCTTTCACCTGTCGTTTTCCCTCCCTGCCTCAATTATTATTTATTCCTCTCACCTGTTTCCTCTGGGTTATATTCAGTTCAGCCTGAGCATTCAGGGCCAGATCATTAACTGTTTTTCTGTTAGTCTGTCTGTTCAGTTTGTTTTCTTGGTTCATGCCCTGGATCCTGGCAGCCAGTGGAAAGAGGGTTTTAGTGTTTGTCTCGTCTTCAGATCGTCCACTGTTCCTCCCCCGCGGAGTCCTCTGGGTTTTAAAACAGGGTTGGACTAACTAAAAAAATAAAACATAAACCTAAGGACAGCAGGAGCAACAAAAACCAGCTCTGTAAACAAACAGAAAACACCAAATTACAAAAAAAAATGCAATCAATGTATAGTTTTATTTACTACCTTAAAATCTCTAAAAATACCTGCATCGTGTAGGGTGCCTTTTCTCTGCCTGAATAGGGGTGACTTTTTAAAGCCTTGTTCCAGTCTCTACTGGAATGTAGGAAGCTGAAGCAGAGGTGATAAACCTAAACCTCTACTAGGGTTAGGGTTAGAAGGGAAGAGAGTTGTTCTGAAATGTTTATCTGGCTTAATTTATGTCTTTGATGAATTGGGTGGTTTTCCTTTTGTTCAAGTGTGTGAAAAAGCTTTTTTGTGCAGGGGGGGTTAGATTGATGGGAGAGAGGGTTGGAGTGTTTGTGGTATAAATGTATGTGCTTAGGATGATTAAGTCAGAACTTTTACATACTCTCCTTCTCGCTAAGGACGTTAAATAAAATTTAATATTCTGTCTTGCAAGAAATGCTTCAGATTCAGTTTCCTAACTTCACATCAAACAGCTGCTGCAATTTGTGTTCATGAAGAATAAAACCCAAATTTAAACTGGAAAGTGCCCTCAGGGCCTGCAGGACATTTGCAACTTTATTTTGACAGTGATCTTACCTCATAACTTTTGAAGAGTTTAAACTTCTTATCAACTCCTTCGTGTCATAAAGTCATGTCAATTTGAATAAAAATTGTTCAACTGAGAACTGTCAAGGTTTGGTTGTGGTTTGAGGACCCAAATGCAGAGGCAGAAAGGCTGAGGAGATTTCTTGCAGTTTAATGGGGAAAAAACAGTAAACGAAGGCAGGAATCCAAAAAAAAACTACTAATAATGTAAACCCAACCAGAACCATGGAGACATCAGGGGAAAATAATCATGAGGAGCCAGAGAGAGACGAGGTAGGAAAAAAACAGCAACGACAAGGAACCAACAAAGAGACCCTGGTCTGATCCAGAGACCCTGGTCTGAAGCAGAGACCCTGGTCTGATCCAGAGACCCTTGGTCTGATCCAGAGACCCTGGTCTGATCCAGAGACCCTTGGTCTGATCCAGAGACCCTGGTCTGAAGCAGAGACCCTGGTCTGATCCAGAGACCCTTGGTCTGATCCAGAGACCCTGGTCTGAAGCAGAGACCCTGGTCTGATCCAGAGACCCTTGGTCTGATCCAGAGACCCTGGTCTGATCCAGAGACCCTTGGTCTGATCCAGAGACCCTGGTCTGAAGCAGAGACCCTGGTCTGATCCAGAGACCCTTGGTCTGATCCAGAGACCCTGGTCTGAAGCAGAGACCCTGGTCTGAAGTAGAGACTTTGGTCCTAAACACACAGGACCAGGATTTATTGTTGATGGGGATGCTTCTGCTGTTTCTGCTAATTTTGCTCAATACTTCATATTTTGTAATGAATTGTGGGTAATAAATGTAGCTATTTTACTCCTAGACACGTGCTCAATCACAGGCACAAAGGTGTGTGTGTGTGTGTGTTTGAGGGGGGTGTGTGGGTGGGTGTGTGTGGGTGGGTGTGTGTGGGTGGGTTGGGGGGGGGGGGGGGGGGGTAAAAGACTGGAACCCATCTCTGGATCACCCCATTGAATTCCAACAGCAGTTGGGTATTTGAAATGAACCAGTAAGTATTGAGGCTCCGCCCCTTCATGAACCACACAGGAAATCACTTCCTGTTTTCTTAATCATCTTTATTTTTTCATTGTTTAACAAACAAAGGAACATTTTCAGGCAGGAGAATTCAACCAATCACAAGCAGGTTACAGCAAGACATCATAAGGAAAATCTGATTGGCTGGTCACTCTCTTAGGAAGACAATTGGCAGGTAACGGTGCAGGTAAAAGGGGCGTGTCCATGTATGATGATGTCATATTCAGCCCCACATTAAGGTCGGTAAACAAAAACAAACGTAAACAAAAACAGCCAATGAATGAACGCCTAACTCATCACCTAAACTAACTAACTAACTAATGAGCTGCAGCCAGACTTCACATGGAGGACTTCAGTAGGATATGTTAAATATGTGGTTGTCATAGTTACCAATGCTGAAATCTGATTGGCTGTGAATTATTCCTCTTGGCAGTTTAAGAGCAGCAACTGGAGCAGGGATCGGCTTCATGTGGAATTTTAAACCAGTTCCTGCTTCCAGTGTTAAATTGGTTCTTTATTTGCTTTTCTACCAAGATGAGGATGGTTGGTTTACTGTCCATTCATTGTTTAGGTAACCAATTTCTAAACCTTTCCCTGTTTACACGTATAATCTGGATCCTAGTCTGATCTGGATCAGAAACGATACTTTACTTGGAAAATTAACTGTCAACTGTTTTTATTTCAAACCAGTTTTAAAACTAGCTTCCGTTCAGATAGTTAGACCACTTCCTGATTCAGATTGGGTTCCAACCAGTTTCTGCGCTGCTTTGGGTTCACATTGTCTGGTTGGCATTTCTAATCTGAGAACTGGTTTTCTTGTCCTTTTAAATTCTGATCCAGTTCTTCGGTTTTCGTCTGTTTTACAGTTATTATTTGAAACCTTTTTCTGATCTGGATCACAGTTTAACTTCAGTCTGAACCAGTTTCAGACCTGATTGTAGGAGTTAAACTGCAGCAATATAAACATAAAACATTAATAAGTGGCAAATAAATTGATTAAAAAAATGATAGATGTTCATAAATCCTCTGGTGCTAAAGTGTGTTCAATAATTTGGTTTCATTAATGCAGATTATTTAATCCTTGGAAAACACATATTCTAATTGGTTCTCAGTGGCAGTGACATCACACTATTTGTGCATTCTTATTGGTCCATTTCAGGGTTAAACTGTCATTAAAGACCGAATGAGATAAGAGATGAGAGTTTATGATAATATGATAAATAAACGGTTGTCAACATGTCAGTGAATGTGTCATGAATAATGTCAATGCTTATTTGCTCAGGTCAGTGAACACATCATTGATATTGTTGGATAATGAGTCAACAATCTGGAAAGTGAATAAACATTAGATTCAGTCAGTGAATGCCTCATCGATTCAGTCAAAGAACAAATCACCGACCCTTTCAGGGAATGCGTTACAAATGTGGTCAGTGGATGCATAATGGATGTGGTCAGTAAATGCATCATGGATGTGGTCAGTGAATGCATCATTTATGTGGTCAGTGAATGCATCGTGGATGTAGTCAGTTAATGCATCGTGGAAGTGGTCAGTTAATGCATCGTGGATGTGGTCAGTGAATGCATCATTTATGTGGTCAGTGAATGCATTGTGGATGTGGTCAGTAAATGCATCGTGGATGTGGTCAGTGAATGCATCGTGGATGCGGTCAGTGAATGCATTGTGGATGTGGTCAGTGAATGCATCGTGGATGTGGTCAGTGAATGCATCTTGTGTGTGGTTTAGTGAATGCATTGTGGATGTGGTCAGTGAATGAATCGTGGATGTGGTCAGTGAATGCATCATTTATGTGGTCAGTGAATGCATCGTGGATGTAGTCAGTTAATGCATCGTGGATGTGGTCAGTTAATGCATCGTGGATCTGGTCAGTGAATGCATTGTGGATGTGGTCAGTGAATGCATCTTGTGTGTGGTCAGTGAATGCATCTTGTGTGTGGTCAGTGAACACATCATTGATATTGTTGGATAATGAGTCAACAATCTGGAAAGTGAATAAACATTAGATTCAGTCAGTGAATGCCTCATTGATTCAGTCAAAGAACAAATCACCGACCCTTTCAGGGAATGCGTTACAAATGTGCTCAGTGGATGCATAATGGATGTGGTCAGTGAATGCATCATGGATGTGGTCAGTGAATGCATCATTTATGTGGTCAGTGAATGCATCGTGGATGTGGTCAATGAATGCATTGTGGATGTGGTCAGTAAATGCATCGTGGATGTAGTCAGTGAATGCATTGTGGATGTGGTCAGTAAATGCATCGTGGATGTGGTCAGTGAATGCATCGTGGATGCGGTCAGTGAATGCATTGTGGATGTGGTCAGTGAATGCATCTTGTGTGTGGTCAGTGAATGCATCGTGGATGTGGTCAGTGAATGCATCTTGTGTGTGGTTTAGTGAATGCATTGTGGATGTGGTCAGTGAATGAATCGTGGATGTGGTCAGTGAATGCATCATTTATGTGGTCAGTGAATGCATCGTGGATGTGGTCAGTGAATGCATCGTGGATGTGGTCAGTGAATGCATCGTGGATGTGGTCAGTGAATGCATCTTGTGTGTGGTTTAGTGAATGCATCGTGGATGTAGTCAGTGAATGCATTGTGGATGTGGTCAGTAAATGCATCGTGGATGTGGTCAGTGAATGCATCGTGGATGCGGTCAGTGAATGCATTGTGGATGTGGTCAGTGAATGCATCTTGTGTGTGGTCAGTGAATGCATCGTGGATGTGGTCAGTGAATGCATCTTGTGTGTGGTTTAGTGAATGCATTGTGGATGTGGTCAGTGAATGAATCGTGGATGTGGTCAGTGAATGCATCATTTATGTGGTCAGTGAATGCATCGTGGATGTGGTCAGTGAATGCATCGTGGATGTGGTCAGTGAATGCATCGTGGATGTGGTCAGTGAATGCATCTTGTGTGTGGTTTAGTGAATGCATCGTGGATGCGGTCAGTGAATGCATCGTGGATGCGGTCAGTGAATGCATTGTGGATGTGGTCAGTGAATGCATCTTGTGTGTGGTCAGTGAATGCATCGTGGATGCGGTCAGTGAATGCATTGTGGATGTGGTCAGTGAATGCATCTTGTGTGTGGTCAGTGAATGCATCGTGGATGTGGTCAGTGAATGCATCTTGTGTGTGGTCAGTGAATGCATCGTGGATGTGGTCAGTGAATGCATCTTGTGTGTGGTTTAGTGAATGCATTGTGGATGTGGTCAGTGAATGCATCATATATGTGGTCAGTGAATGAATCGTGGATGTAGTCAGTGAATGCATCATTTATGTAGTCAGTGAATGCATCTTGTGTGTGGTCAGTGAATGCATTATGGATGTGGTCAGGAATGCATCGTGGATGTGGTCAGTGAATGCATTGTGGATGTGGTCAGTGAATGCATCGTGGATGTGGTCAGTGAATGCATCGTGGATCTGGTCAGTGAATGCATTGTGGATCTGGTCAGTGAATGCATATTGTGTGTGGTCAGTGAATGCATCGTGGATGTGGTCAGTGAATGCATCATTTATGTGGTCAGTGAATGCATTGTGGATGTAGTCAGTTAATGCATCATATGTGTGGTCAGTGAATGCATTGTGGATGTGTTCAGTTAATGCATCATATATGTGGTCAGTGAATGCATTGTGGATGTAGTCAGTGAATACATCATTTATGTGGTCAGTGAATGCATCATGGATGTGGTCAGTGAATGCATCACCCAGTTGGCAGGTAAACAGTCAGAGTCATTTCAGAGTTTGCAGTGAAGGATCTGTCTTTGTGCATCTCTAAGTTTATTGGTTGTTGATCCTCAGCTTGAAGGAAACCCGTCCTGCAAACCTGTCCCTTTCACTGCCGGCCTGCAGGGTGTTGGACACCACCTTACACTCCACGTTGATGTCAGTGTTCAGAGAGGCGTTTAGGAACTTCACGGCCACCAGAGGCTGAGTGTAGTTCACCTATAATACAGAACAAATCCAATCTTAGCAATCGTTTCTAGACTGATATCAGACAATAATGAAGATGAAATTCAGAAATGACCTCAGACATCAGGTGACATTAAAAGCAACAGAATCAGGGTAGAAAATTACCAAGTACATGTTAGACACTACAACTCATTAACACATCGAAACCTTCAATCCGACATAAATGTTTATTATAACGGCACAGATGGAGTCATTATCTTCAGCGCCCCTGTATAAAGCATGACTACACAAAATGAAATCTGGAGCCATTTTTAAGGCAAAACTGGGGATGATAAAGAATATAAATCCCCTGAGCCATCTCCATGGAAACCATTTCTTAATGCTGCTCAGTTTTACCTCAAGATATGCTTTGATAAAAAGACATTCAATCCCAGTTTGAATCTAGAAGCGTAGTTCCAGATGGGATCAGATCTCCTGCCCACTTCCTCTGTGGTTTCTATTCTTTTAGAGCCTTTTTTTACATTCCTTCCAAAAAGTGTGAATTTATTTTTATTATGAAACTGGTCAACTGGTCTCAATGCTACGGATACACTGCTTTTGACATGAAGACATGGTACTGGAGAACCCTTAAGTTCAGACGGGTTGTTTTTCTATGGATACACTGTGGACTTATGTAAGACTTTGAGTCTGATATTGTCGGTGGAGGACATGGAAGACATGTACTTAATTAGATTTCTGATAACAGGATTTCTGCTGCTTGGAATGGGCAGATACATTGGCAGAATGGTAAACTGGATGGTCCTTGCACAGGATCAGAGGCTTGCTATGGTTCCTGGACTCAGATGTTTAATGGGATAATATTGATTGTAAACTCGGGCTGGGCGGCAGGTCCAGGGATCTGTCTAATGGGAATCGCCATGTGAGGCACCAGTAAAAACTCTCCAGGCTTGCAGAAAGAAAATCACCATCCAGCCTGACCCAAACATTCAGTTTGAATCTATAATCTGGCCTAAAATAAACAAAGAAAAAACAACTATATTTGCAGTTACAGACTCAATTGGTAATATATTACAGGATCCGGAGGATATTAATAATGCCTTGCCAGATTTCTATAAATCTTTATACGCATCACAGGTAAATCCATAAGATAATGATATCAAGCGATTTCTGGATAAAATAACTCTTCCTAAATGATCAGAGAGTCAAAGAGCGACCCTGGACTCACCGCTGTCTACAGCTGAAGTTCAGGAAGCATTAAAAAACATGCCAAATAATAAAGCGCCAGGTCCAGACGGGTTCCCTACTGAGTTCTAAAAAGAGTTCTGGGACATTCTGGCCCCAACGTTCCACAGAATGCTGCAGGAAACTCTAGATAATGGCAAATTTCCAGTTAATATGAATTCTGCCACCATTAGTCTCCTGCTTAAACCAGGCAAAGATCCTATGTTTCCGACCAGCTATCGTCCCATATCCTTAATTAATGTGGATATTAAAATAATCTGTAAAGCTTTAGCAAAACGATTAGATAAAGTCACTCCTCATAATCCACCCAGATCAAACTGGTTTCATTAAAGGAAGGCAGTCAGCTGCTAACACACGCAGACTGCTGAATTTAATAGATTATTCCTACAGCAAAAATCTTAAATCCTATATATTGTCCTTAGATGCAGAAAAAGCATTCGATAGAGTAAACTGGACATTTTTATTTGCTACTCTACATAAATTTTGTTTTGGCAATTCCTTTATAAATTGGTTAAAAATCTTCTACAGCTTCCCAACAGCCTGTGTCAGGACAAATAATCAAACATCTTCCAGCTTTTGTCTCCAGAGGGGCACCAGGCAGGGATGCCCGCTCTCCCCCTCCCTTTTTGCTATTTTTATTGAGCCTCTGGCTGCTACAATCAGACAAACTAATGTGGTTAAAGGTATAAAAGGCATGAAAATGGAGCACAAAATTAGTCTTTACGCAGATGATGTATTACTTTATCTCCAGCACTCAAACACTCGCCTCTCTCAAGTAATTAGTTTACTAGAATCTTCTCAAAACTCTCAGATTACTCTATAAATTGGTCTAAATCTGTAATACCACCAATTAATTGCTCTCTACAGAATCCCTCAGGTACAATCAGGAAATATCAAATATTTGGGAATAACTGTGTCATCTAAACTAGCTGAGTTACCAAAACTCAACCACACCCCTCTTTTAAAAAAGAGGGATGATTAATATTCAAACCGAATATTAATCTTGAGACAGCATCTGCATCCCCATCAGACCGATCTCTCTGGGTTCCTTTGATTGGCTCCATCACTTAGTGTAGTGGGGTTAGACTGGGGACTGCGGCGGACATTGCAGTGGCTGGGGGACTTCCTCAGGGCTGTCTCTCTTCCTCCCTTGGTGGGGGTTGGATTTCCTGGGCTGGCCCCTCCTTGGTGCCTTTGCCTTTGGGATCCCTTTGGCATCTGGGGCTTAGGGTCTCCCGGCGCTGGACTCTCCACAACCACTACTTTGTTACTCCATCACAGAGTAACAAAGTACCTCCCTGCTCCAGCCAGTGAACAAAACCTCCTTAATGACGACCCCTAACAATCATAGACAGGTTTCAGGTATTATAGGAGACAATCCCCCCCTTTAATGACTGACCTTTCAGAATCATAGACAGGTTCAGATATTACAGGCTAACGATGGAACCAAACGACCCATTCATTGGTTCCATTTGCATGTTTCCAAGCAATACAAGGCTTTGTCTAAAAAGACTCAAACTCACTGCGGATCCAGACATTTGAATTGAGAAAGCTTCCTGGAGAGGTGGAGAAACGTCTTCAAATCTTGGAAACCAAGTACAGTGGATTGTTTTTTAACTTTTACGGAATGGACCTTACATAGTACTACCAAGAAGCACATTACTGGGTTCAGGGCTGCATGAACCCACAGATGCTCACAGATATCAACATAAGCTCCTCCCATACCGCCATCACCGCTCCACCACTAGATGTTCTTTTGATGCTGAAAGTTTCTGTAATTTCAGGTGTATCCCCTAAATGATAGTCCCACTGAGAATACGTGTGATAAGGTCTCTGACAGCATCATTGCCATGGTTACTGGGACGCAGGGTGGGAGCCTTCCTGGTGTTTATACTGTGTATTTTGGGGCAGACAAATGGCCGGGGGAATCCGTGTTCATCTTGGACCAGTCCCAGGTAGACTGGGATGTCTGAAGGTGTGTGGTGAAATGTTTAGCTCCAGTTTAATAGATCAGTTTTTCCGTGATCCATAGATTTCTAAATGTCTCTCTGCCACCAACTTTCATCATGAGAGCTGCCCCTCTGTGATGGATGAGGCCCATGGTCTTTGAAGAGAAATGGACCACTGACGGCGGTGAAACCCGAAAAGCTCCTGGCAAGCTGCAACAAACAGAGGTGAGTGTACCATGGGAGATGTTGGGCGTGGACCTTATGGGACCCTTTCCACGGAGTTCTAAAGGTAATGTCCCTCTACTTGTTTTTTGGACTATTTCTCACGGTGGGTTGAAATGTTTCCCCTCCGCAAGGATACTGCAGAAATAATATCCCAGTGACACGATGGGGAGTGCCGACATACATTCTCTCTGATCAAGGTCCACAATTTATTTCTTCTGTGTTCGAAGAAACCTGCAAAAGATGGAATCTCACACCAAAGAAAACCTCTGCATATCACCCACAAACTAACCTTACGGAGAGAGTTAATCGCAACATCAAGGCTAGGCTCTCATCCTATGTCAGTAACAAACATAAGAGTTGGGGTAAGTACCTACCAGAATTCGGTTTGCTTTAAACTCTGCAGTGCATGAATCTACTGGTGTGACTCCAGCTGAGCAAAACATTGGACGACTTCTGAAAGGGCCTTTGGATGCAGAGCTGAGTCCAACCCTTTGTGACCCTGACACCCCCGTCTATGCTACCGTAAAACAGATTGCTGAGCTCCGTGAATTCGCTGATGTCAATCTGAGAAAAGCTAAGCAGCGACAGAAACACAGCTATGACCGTGGAAGAAGAGATGAAAACTTCTCAGAAAGAGATGGATTCGTTCACACCCTTTATCAAAGGCTGATCAATCTTTTATGGCCAAACTTGCTCCACGATGGAAAGGTCCTTACAGGATCATAAAAAGGACTGGCCCTGTAAATTATGAAGTGGTTCTGGAGGATACTGGAGAAGATCTCCGCATGGTTCATATATCGCAGATCAAACCTTGTTTTCCTTCTCCTTCTCAAGGGGGGGTGGGGGGGGGGTGGCGGTGGTGGGGGGTGGGGTGACAACCTGCTTGTTGAACAGAGCTGCTGCACCGTTATTCATAAATCCTCCTGCTTGTTCACAGCTCAAGACACGCCTTCTTTACGCCCATTGAACACATGCACTTACCTGATTGGTCCGCTGTTCAATCTGGCTCCTAGCTCTAGTTTGAAAATGTCAGTGTCTCAGCAGACAGCGTAACAGAAACAGCTGCTGCTACTACGTCTGCATATTCCATTCTGTCGACCAGTAACACAGTCAGTCCGAGGCCGTTTAATCCCTCGTGCTTTCAGTATTTTGCCTCCGTTCTGGATCCCACCGATCATTAAGGAGAAAACCAAACAAACAAACTCCTTTCTGGGCTCCTGCCGTGCCGACATGTCACCATAATTAACCGGAAGCCGGTGATGTCACAGTTAAACATCCTCTGTAAGTGCTACACTTACTGAAAATATAAATTAATAACTTTGCCCCGTTACAAAAAATAAAATAAACTTTAAATATATTCATCTAGTGAAACCAACAACAGAAAACCTGTTCCAGCTCCTGCCTCTGAGCAAGATTTGTTTCTCATCTGACCTTCTGCAGATTCTGTTAGTTCAATCTCTAACCTTCTGCTCTCTCTGCTTTTCCTCATAGTAGCTTCATCTGGTCTGTTCCTGTTTGGCTGTGACTCCATCCTGGAAAGAAACATCAGCTGTGCTGCTTCCATCAACACCCTTGTTTATAGATGTTGGAGATCGGCCAGTTTTCCAGTGTGGTCCTGTTTCTCTGACCGTGACTGAGTGGATGTGCTCTCTTCGTCCTCTGGAATGGGAGCTGGCTCGGAGCTCGTCTGCCTGGCTGTGTGTTTCCTGGACGGGGCCGCCTTTTACAGTTGCTTTTTGTGTCTCTGCTTCTGTCTCCTTGAACCCCAGTCGGCCTCGGCAGATGGCCGCTCACACTGAGCCTGGTTCTGCTGGAGGTTTCTTCCTGTTCAAAGGGAGTTTTTCCTCTCCACTGTCGCTACAAGCATGCTTAGTGTGAGGGATTGTATTTGAGTCAATGAGTCAATGCAATCAACTGGTTTTCCTTAGACAAAAAACTTTGTATCAATTTGACTGGATGATCTGGTTGAACTGTAAAGTGCCTTGAGATGACATGTGTTGTGAATTTGGCGCTATATAAATAAACTGAATTGAATTGAATTGAACCTGTAAGTCCATTCTATGTATGTTTGTTTGTTTGTGCTGTTTTTATGCAATTGTAGGACTTTTGTTGTGTATAGGCTCTTATATTTTTGATTTTCTCTTGTTTATTCACAGCTCTTGCTGTGGGGCAATTTATATTGGAGCCTTTCTACCTTGGATAATAATGGACATTTATATTTTGTGGGAAAGAATTTTGTGATTCTTTTTTGATGGCTATATATTTATTAATTTTTTTGTTTTTGAAACAAGAACTGTTAAGCCTAATTGTTTGTTTGTCTTGTGAAAAGTTTTTGTTTATTATTTGAAAGGGTCTACACACAGAAGTGTATGGTCCTTGTTTTAATGTTTAAAATATATATATATATATATCCTACTTGTCAGGAGGGATATCTGACTGGCACCGCTAAAACACTGACAAACACCCAGTTAAAAAAAAAAACTAAAACTAAAATAATTAACCTTGTAAAACCGTCACATGGTGAGGTTCCCTGGGTCGGTCCTGGCTGCGACTGACCACCCTGCCCTGTTCTAACTGGTTTACTGGAGTAGGACTGAGATCCGGTTCTGTTGTCAGATCTGAGTTCTCAGAGGACATGGTGTGTTCTTACCTGGGCCTTCTTCCCGTAGTACGGGTAGTACATTAGGTTGAAGGTTCCGTTATCAGGGAAATAAGCCAGAGGTCCAATCTTCTCACTGTCCTCGTTCTGCACACAAACACAAACTCGTTAGTGGATCCTACAGACACCAGCAGCATCAGCTGTGTCCTTCAGGAACCAGTTGTTTCTGGGAAAAAGCCTCACATCTTGTTCCAGATTTGAAAACCAAAGTCATAAATAAGCCTTTAGTTAGAGTTAAGTTCTTTGTTATTTATCCTTTTTCCTGCATTGACTTTATATTCTGATTATCTTCAGTTTTATCAACTCACTGTTAGTATCCCATTCTTTAAGCTGGGAGGGTTTACAGAACCTTGGGTCCCAAATGGTTCCACCATCGGCTGCAGGTCAGCTGCTGGGTTAGGCTAAAGGTTAGCATGTGTCCATCATGGACCTTAGAGAACCTTTCTGCTCTGCTGGCAGCAGAACCTGATCTAGGACCAGAAGCAGCTGGCAGAACGTTAGAGCTGTGGTCCAGCTGAGCTCAGCAGCAGCAGAAATTCTGGTGACCTAAAGTTAACTATCGTCATTATCCTCTAATACCCATAAACCATCTACTGTAACCAGCACTCATTAGCCATAACATTATGACCACTACATGGTGGGGTTAGAGACACCATCATGGTGGGGTTGGAGAACCCGTCTTGGTTACAGGCACCATCATGGTGGGGTTAGACACCATCATGGGTACAGGCACCATCATGGTAGAGTTGGAGGCACCATCATGGATGGGTTAGAGACCCCGCCATGGTTACAGGCACCATCATTGTTGGGTTACAGGCACCATCATGGTGGGGTTAGACACCATCATGGGTACAGGCACCATCATGGTAGAGTAGAGGGCATCATTATGGTGGGGTTAGGCACCATCATGCTAGAGTTGGAGGCACCATCATGGATGGGTTAGAGACCCCGCCATGGTTACAGGCACCATCATTGTTGGGTTACAGGCACCATCATGGTTGGGTTACAGGCCCCATCATGGTTGGGTTACAGGCCCTATCATGGGGGGTTAGAGACCCCGCCATGGTTACAGGCACCATCATGGTTGGGTTACAGGCACCATCATGGTGGGGTTAGGGACAGCACTGGTAAGGGGTCCAACCAGGTGAAGGAGACCTGGCAGGATAATAATTCTAGGCATGGATGAAAACCACAAAGACCTTCTCCTGGACGCCATGATGGTCCTAACCCCAACCCAATAAAAGCAGAAGTCAGAAATGTTGGTATAGCCTCCATTCTCCTACCAGGATCTCAGACCATAGATGGTCTGCCAGACCCTGAGCAAACATCCAGACCTTCTGGGCTCTGAAGGAGTCCATGCCTCAGACGGAACTGGCTGCCAGACAGGGACCCCCCACACCCCCCACACCATTCAACGGGTGGTCTTTATATTATGCCTGATCTGAGTTACATGGAAAGAAAAATCTACAAACTGGGTTAGTCCAGATCTAAGGTCTGTGCTGGTGAAGATCTCCTAGAGGTCTCACCCCTTATGGCTTCCCACTTTGTGAGGCTGTAGACAGAGAGGACATGGACATACATGGACACATGGAGACACAGGGACTCAGACAGATGAACACAGAGGCAGCGGGACACAGACGGGTCAGTCGGACCTTGGCTCCACAGCTGACATAAGGAGACTGGCCGTCCTTCCCAGGCAGCATCCCGATCACCTGTAGACACAGAGGAGGAGGTCAGATAGATGCTCTGCAGCACCTCCATCAGTAGGAAAATCTACATCTACCTGCTGCTCAGGGCAAAATTCAGGGCGATCAAACAGAACCAGAACAGGCAGGCTTCTGGCATCATTCAGGCGGACCCCTATAGACTTCAACCAGACCTGGTACTAGACTGAAGTTCCCTCACCAAGAACATAAAGGTCATCAGAGTCAGCTTCACCACTGACCGTGTCAGATCAACTGCAGAGTTTAGCAGGAAGTCCTAGCCTGGTTAGCAAAGCATCTAGCTCTGTTCAGTGCTCTTCATTAAATTCCTTACCATGTTTGGTGGGATAGCATCATAGCACAGTGACTTCTGGATCTCAGAGAATACCGACACATTCACCTTTGGCCTCTGATGTAATACGTCCAGACCTGCACTCATTCTGAAATTAGCTGGTTGACCCGAAAACAATAAGCATCCGGCTCTGTTCCCATTGGTATAAAAAGCCGATCTGATCCCCAACAGGCAGCTGCATGGCCTCCGTCCCCCACTGCTGCCTGATTGGTGAGGCATCACGCTGAGTTAGCTTTGATGATGTCATCAGTGTGATAGAAATTAGGAAAGTAAACAACAGAGAGCAACATGGAAGGGAGCCAGGGCGTAGTTGGTGTTCTTTATTGTTTGGTTATTTTGTCTGTCGCTCTCAGCAGTGTGCTCCATGTTTATTAAATGCAGCAGATGCGTTTATGTTTGTTAGATCAGACGCGACTAGAGTCATATGGTGACGTCTCTACCTGGTGATCCATGGTATGATTACCTGGGGTCACCAGATCGGACAGTTTTACACCCAAACTCTGCAAACAGCTGCTAACCTCAATAAAATCATCCAAACCTCTGCCTCACTGGAATCCGATGTCAGACATTCAAACTATTGCAGAAATAAAGAACAGGTTCTAAATATCTTTATTAAAACAAAGGTACTGGTTTTAACCATTAAATCTGATTATCCTCCCAGTTCCCAATGGCAGCATGGTGAGGAACTGCTAAGCACTCGATAATTGAACGTTTAGCGCCTCACCGTCTGATGGACGGAGACATTGATCTTATTCAAGCGATCAGAAGCAGCAGAACCAGCTTGATGGAGGAGGGACACAGGGCGTCCTAGGGTGGTTGCTATGGCTACCACAGAAACGTGATCAGAGAGTAAGTGATCAGAACCTACCCGGTTCAGTTTGATCAGGATGCAGGGCTGTGCTTTGCTGTAACCATAGAAACGGTCCTCAAGCCCTGAGCAGTCCCCCAGCATGGTCCGGTTGAACTGACAGGACCGCTTGGGATTGTTCCTCACCTGCATAAGAAAGGGGAGGAGTCAGTGAGGTCATAGTTTCTGAACTACCGGATCAGAACCAAGGTACTGCTGAGATTATCTTATTTTATTATATTTTTTAAAGGTGAAATATGGACACATTCTGGGTCTGGTCCTGGGTTCTGAAATCCTAAGAGAACTGATCCAAAGTCAGGATCATCACGCATTAACCTGATAGGTTCCCAGCTCAGAGGACAAATCAGAACCAGAACTGTGACAGAACCAGACTAGCATAGAAGTCCATGTCAGCTGCCAGTGTCCAGACGGTACCAGCGGTACCATTGATGCTAAAGATGAAACCCAGATCAGACCCAACAGAACCAAAGCTCTGGTTCCTGCCATTAGAAGATTCTGATACTGATCAGTCAGAGATCAGTTCTCTGATCAATGACCCATCAGAAATGTCTACTGATCCAAAGTCTGACAGAAGAACAGAACGCTGGTCCAAACCAGACTGACCCTCATAGTCAGAATTGGGTCGTTTTTTTTTTACCTCTCCACTGTCCTCCTGGATGAAATACTGATCAGGGGGACAATCGGCATTCAGCTGGACCTGGTGGCTGTCGTTGTAGGCTGGACCCCGAGACAGACGGAGAACGGGACAGTATGAGAAGGTGGAGACAGGAAATGAAAGACAGAGGAATCACAGGATGGTAGGAGACGTTGGAGACAGGACAGGAAAGACAGACGGAGAACGGGACGGTATGAAAAGGTGGAGACAGGAAATGAAAGACAGAGGAATCACAGGATGGTAGGAGACGTTGGAGACAGGACAGGAAAGACAGGGAGGATGGGACGGTATGAAAAGGTGGAGACAGGAAATGAAAGACAGGAATCACAGGATGGTAGGAGACGTTGGAGACAGGACAGGAAAGACAGAGGGAGGATGGGACGGTATGAGAGGGTGGAGACAGGAAATGAAAGACAGAGGAATCACAGGATGGTAGGAGACGTTGGAGAAAGGACAGGAAAGACAGACGGAGAACGGGACGGTATGAAAAGGTGGAGACAGGAAATGAAAGACAGGAATCACAGGATGGTAGGAGACGTTGGAGACAGGACAGGAAAGACAGAGGGAGGATGGGACGGTATGAGAGGGTGGAGACAGGAAATGAAAGACAGAGGAATCACAGGATGGTAGGAGACGTTGGAGACAGGACAGGAAAGACAGAGGGAGGATGGGACGGTATGAGAGGGTGGAGACGGGAAATGAAAGACAGAGGAATCACAGGATGGTAGGAGACGTTGGAGACAGGACAGGAAAGACAGAGGCAGGATGGGACGGTATGAGAGGGTGGAGACCGGACAGGGAGAACCAGGTGGAGAAGATGAAGAGGAGACAGAAGCTGGAGTTAGAAGTAGTCAGGTAGACAGTGACTCAGAGTAACTGGACTCAGCAGACTGGTTGGAAATTCTCCCAGTAAGCTGATGGTCTGAGGAGCTTCTTACAGGACAGGAAGGTGTTGAGATTCTGGACAAAGTCCTCCCAGCTCTCAGTGTCCGATACAGAGTACCTGATCTCCAGCTGGTCCCCTTTGGGGCGGATCATCATCCCTGGAACACAAGGAGAATGCTGGGTAACCAATCAGAGTAGAGGATTTGTTAGAGAGAGCCAATCAGAGAGAGATCTTCAGTCTCTAAATAATAGGTAGACCTGATAGAACAATGGAGAACAAAACATGACAGGAAATACGACTAAAGCTTTTTCCTTCTGCTCAGGACTCAGTACCTCCAGAGATATGGAGGATTTTCAGTCTGTGAGCAGGATTTCCTCCACTTGCACTAAAAACTGCTGCTTTTTCTCAGATCTCTTCTCCATCAGATCTTTGGTTCCCCTCTCAGATCTGATGCTTCTCTCTCTCTGTTTGGGTCAGAGATATGCTCACAAACCTCGTTTCTCTGCTTGTGGATTGTTTTACTCTCTTTCCGACTGGAGTTAGATCACTGCCAGAAACCCTTACAGCCAATAGAAAGACAGCCTTGGAAAGGGTTGGCTAGATTTGGTCTGCGGAGCTTGTTAATGCTTACTGTGGGAGCGATGCTAAAACAGCTACATCTGATCCCCTACAGGGAAGTTGTAATAGGATTTCGGCTAATCAGCAGTGCTTGGTAATCAGACAAAGTGATCAGCAGGAGAAACGCATCTTTCTCCTTCGGTTGGTCCATGTTTGTTTTGGTCAGATTGCCCAAACCAGGGGGACAAATCAACCAACAGAGGGAAGGTGAGACAGTTTTCTGAGCTCAGAAAGAAGCAGCATGGAATCAGTGTGAGAACACTGGGAACACTGGGAGAGAGAGCGCCATATCCGGGATGAGGGGGGTCAGCAGTGCCCCCCTCTGGAGCTAAGGAACCACAGCGGTAGATCAGAGAAGCCCCTGGGCAGACAGGGCACCAGAGCAGGGAGATAAGGCAGGTGAAGAGGAGCCCAGTGGTTGTTAGGGAGTAAAGGTTACGGCTAGTTCTTTTAGGTTTTAGAAGCCAATAATGAAGGTGTAATGGTCAGGATACAAGTCGGAAGGCAAGGACGCTTTCAGTTCACTCGGTCCCGGGATCAGCAGGTATATTTCAACTCAATGCTCAGTGCCCTGACCCCCCAGGGTGCAGACCAGGAAGCAGAGTCCTAGTTTAGCAGACCTCTCTGCAGCTTCTCTACTGTTACCCACTCTTTACTCCATCCAGACAGTGTCTTTGCTCATGACCAAAATCTAATAAATTAAAAGAATAACAAAAGAGTAAATCATGAGAATCTAATCAAAATAACTCCAATTGGGGAAAAAGTTTAAACAATTAAATGCAGTCTTTTTAACAAAAGATCTCTTTCCTCTAAAAGTCTGCTAGTTAATGACTTGATTTGTGATAATCACATTGACTTGTTTTGCCTTACAGAAACCTGGCTGCAGCAATAGGATTATGTGAGCATAAATGAGGCAACTCCTTCAAGCTATTTAAATTTTCACATCCCCAGAAGTTCTGGGCGAGGAGGAGGAGTAGCAACAATCTTCCAGTCTGACTTACTGATTACTCCCAAAACAATTAATACCTACAACTCTTTGAACATTTAACCCTTAATTTCCCTGATCCAAATTTCAAGGCAAGTAAACCTGTGAAAAATGTTAATAGTCCCACACATTCTCATCTTCATACTTTGGATCTTGTGCTGACATACGGCATAGAATGTGAAGAAATAACAGTATTTCCTCACAACCCTGTCCTCTCTGACCACTTTCTAATAACCTTCAGGATTACTTTAACAGAGTTCTCCTCCCCCAAAAGAAGGTTCAATTTTAGTAGATCTTTATCAGATAGTGCAGTTATAAATTTTAAAGAATCTGCTTCACTTTCTCTCTCCTCTGTGTCACTGAGCAGTGCTGCAGAGTGCAAAAGCTTAGCTTATTCCCCTTCACAGGTTGATGATTTTGTTGATGGGGTTGCTAGTTCTCTGCGTATTGCCTTAGACAACGCAGCTCCTTTGAAAATGAAAACCGTTAAAAATAGAAAGCTTGCTCCTTGGTTTAATGCAGAGCTGCGTACTTTGAAGCAAAATGCTAGGAAACTGGAGGGAAAATATCGCTCCACAGGCCTACGGGGGCAGGGGGGGCAGCATCTGAGGTAGTCATGGAATCTGAACCGGGTTTAGACTTCTTTGATTCAGTTGAACTTTCAGAGTTAACAAAATTATTGTCTTCATCTAAGCTTTCAACTTGGATGTTAGATCCAGTTCCAACCAAGTTATTCAAGGAGGTAACTTTCCTTTTTGATAAAGCTTCTAGTTAGAGTGGCTCAGGTTATCCTGATCTATCTCTATAGTTCTGCTGCTATAGGCTTAGACTGCTGGAGGACATAGGGACCCCTTTTCCATCATTCTCTCTATTCTCCCACTCTGCAGAATATGTTAGTTCAATCTCTAATGTTATGTTGTTTTCTTTGATGTGGTTTTCTATGTGGCTGAAAATGTTTTTATCCAGTTGGCGATGCTATATCAGCAATAAGGTTTATTTTAATACAGTCTTAAATTGTGCTTTAATGTATTAATTTAAACAATTAGTTTAAAATTAGTTTTATGTTTTAAGCATTTAGTGCCTTTATTATTTTAATAATTCAGTGTTTTCATTATTTTAATCAGCCAGAGTCTTTATTTTTTCTAATCATTCAGTGTTTTTATTATTCTGGAGCTTCTGCTGGTTTGTTTTGTTTTAACAGGGTTTCTAAATGATCGACCCAGTTCATTGAGCATTCCCAGTACCGCTCCCAGTCTGGACCTCTCTGCAGGCTTCATCTTCTGGAAGGTTCTGACCAGAGGAGTATTCTCAGGATGTTCTGATGAGACCCACTGGATCCGTCTATAGAAGGAACCCACCGAGCATGAAGGTTCTGATTTAAAGCTGGAATGGATCAGAAGGTTTTGACCCAGATTCTGAATCACGGAGGTCAAGTTCCAGAACTTTATTCAGATCCCTGAACAGGTCAGACCTGCTCAGAACTAAATCTCTGGACAAAGACCCAGATCTATCTGGGTCGCCTGACAGAACCAGTAGAACCAGTAGAAATGAACACCTGACTCCTGGATCTGCGGACCTTCCAGCCCATGGTTCTGTTGAGGCCCGGTTTTGAGCAGCAGGTGTTTTTACTGGTAATGATGACATCATCTGAGTTCAAAGGTCATCAAAGCTGTAAATCATCAGATCCAACAGAAACCAATAAAGGCTCCTTTACTGGATCTACTGGGTCTCATATAGTGATGCTGAGACTTGGAACAGAACCACAGGTCCGACTCAGCAGCCAATCAGCTGCTTCGTTCTGTCTGTGGGGGTGGAGACTGGCTGCAGGTCCGTCACCATGGTAACGGGTGTGTCTCACCTGGGGTGAGCAGGCGGTCCTGCCAGGTGGGTTTGTAGTCGTCCAGTGTGAGCAGCATAATGTACATGGTGAAGGCAAACATCCCGGCCAGGAACAGGTAGAAGACCAGGTAGAAGAGCAGGACCAGACCTGGAGACAGAGGGACAGGACAGAATGAGGACAGGACAGAGAACAGGACAGAGGACAGGACAGAATGAGGACAGGACAGAGAACAGGACGAGGACAGGACAGAATGAGGACAGGACAGAGGACAGGACAGAGGACAGGACAGAGAACAGGACAGAATGAGGACAGAGGAGGACAGGACAGAATGAGGACAGGACAGAGGACAGGATGAGGACAGGACAGAATGAGGACAGGACAGAGAACAGGACAAAGGAGGACAGGACAGAATGAGGACAGGACAGAGGACAGGGGAGGACAGGACAGAATGAGGACAAACAGGACAAAGCAATGGTTAACGACACAACAATAGCAACATTATCTGGGTGGTCCCCATATAAATTACCCCCCCCCGCAGACAATAGCCCATAAATACTCACTTCATCATTTCATCATTCTCCACCTTCACTAAACAGGGACATACTTCAGTATATTCTGCTGTAAAATGAATCTTATCGGCTGATGGGGCCCCCAGCCCCTCCAGACCCCACCCCCCACCCCACGCTGTCTCCATTCTCCTCCTGGCCGCCATCTTTACTCGCTGCAGCAGCAGCGTCCTCCCCTTCCTCTTTGAAAGAACGGGTTTATTTTTGGAAGTTTTTTCCTTTCTTCTTCTTTGCTTTTTCTTTTCTGGAATCTGCTTAAGTTCGTCTTTTTGGCGTCCATCGTCGCTAACACATCCTACGTAACGGTTATGGTTTAATCTACGCTCTGGATTACCCATAATTCCAAGTCATAGTGTGAAAAAATAAAATACTCAAATACATCATTCTTTAAGATCTTTATAGCGGGGCCCCTAAGAGGTCGGGGGCCCCTAAGCAACCACGCCATTGGGACAAAGACAGAGGACAGGACAGAATGAGGACAGGACAGAATGAGGGCAGGACAGAGGAGAGGGATAGAGGACAGAGTTAGAGGACAGACAGAGACAGAGGACAGATGGAGGATAGAATGAGAGGACACAGGAGAGACATGATAGAAATAGACCAGAGAGGACAGTGTAGGTCAGTCCAGCGGAACCCTGCCCCCCCTCCCCGTCCAGCTGTCGTGTCTCTAATCCTTTGCTGACCCACATTCAGCAGATCCTCACTCAGCTGTTACCACGGCAACACTAGTCCCTACAGTGGCAACAAGCAGGTCGGTCCAGGGCGCCGAGTCAAACCATCAGGAGACGTTTCATCATCAGGAATCTCTGGAGAACCTGGAGACAACGTCCACACTTCCTCCTTCCACTCAACTTTCTGGGAATACACCAGGATGCGTTAGCAGCAACCTCTGTCCCTCGCTGTCCTCTTGACCTCTGTCCATCGCTGTCCCCTGGACTTCTGTCCATCGCTGTTCCCTGGAACCCTGTCCGTCGCTGTCCCCTAGACCTCTGTCTGTCGCTGTCCTCTGGACCTCTGTCCGTCGCTGTCCTCTGGACCTCTGTCCGCTGTCCTCTGGACCTCTGTCCATCACTGTCCTCTGGACCTATGTCCGTCACTGTCCTTTGGAGCTCTGTCCCTCGCTGTCCTCTGGACCTCTGTCGGTCGCTGTCCCCTGGACCTCTGTCCGTCACTGTCCTCTGGACCTCTGTCCGTCACTGTCCTCTGGACCTCTGTCCGTCACTGTCCTCTGGACCTCTGTACGTCGCTGTCGCCTGGACCTCTGCCAGTCACTGTCCTTTGGAGCTCTGTCAATCTCTGTCCTCTGGACCTCTGTCCGTCGCTGTCCAGACCACCTCCCCAGTTTACAGAACCGGTTCCATCTGGACTTAGAACCTGACTGAAGGTTCTCCAGGCAGCTGCTCCTCAGGGTCTGATCCACAGAACAGAGGCAGGTCCAGTCTGACCCAAAAGGTTCCACTGCAGGGAGTCAGTCTGGGTCAGGAACTAACAGAACCTCCATCTGCAGGTCTCCTAGAACCAGACAAGGTTCTGGTCCTCAGAGCCCACCTGGTGCCAGGACAGCTGATCCAGGAGGTTCTGGATGGGTCAGAACTGGGAGCAGAACCAGAACCAGACCTGGTCCTGATGGAGGTGATGAAGGACAGCTGATCCAGGAGGTTCTGGATGGGTCAGAACTGAGAGCAGAACCTGAACCAGACCTGGTTCTGATGGAGGTGATGAAGGACAGCTGATCCAGGAGGTTCTGGATGGGTCAGAACTGAGAGCAGAACCTGAATCAGACCTGGTTCTGATGGAGGTGATGAAGGACAGCTGATCCAGGAGGTTCTGGATGGGTCAGAACTGGGAGCAGAACCAGAACCAGACCTGGTTCTGATGGAGGTGATGAAGGACAGCTGATCCAGGAGGTTCTGGATGGGTCAGAACTGAGAGCAGAACCTGAACCAGACCTGGTTCTGATGGAGGTGATGAAGGACAGCTGATCCAGGAGGTTCTGGATGGGTCAGAACTGAGAGCAGAACCTGAACCAGACCTGGTTCTGATGGAGGTGATGAAGGACAGCTGATCCAGGAGGTTCTGGATGGGTCAAAACTGAGAGCAGAACCTGAACCAGACCTGGTTCTGATGGAGGTGATGAAGGACAGCTGATCCAGGAGGTTCTGGATGGGTTAAAACTGAGAGCAGAACCTGAATCAGACCTGGTTCTGATGGAGGTGATGAAGGACAGCTGATCCAGGAGGTTCTGGATGGGTCAAAACTGAGAGCAGAACCTGAACCAGACCTGGTTCTGATGGAGGTGATGAAGGACAGCTGATCCAGGAGGTTCTGGATGGGTCAAAACTGAGAGCAGAACCTGAACCAGACCTGGTTCTGATGGAGGTGATGAAGGACAGCTGATCCAGGGAGCAGAACCAGAACCAGACCAATAGGATCAGGATCTCTCCTCCTCCTCTGAATCAGCCAATCACTTCTGCTCCTGCTGAGGAAGACTATCAGCAGCAGTGAGGAAGGTGCCCTCCTCTTCATCACCTGATGAAGATGCAGCACCTTCATCTTCATCAGTCTCTCTGATCAATGAATCACCTTCATCTGAAATAAATCTCACATGCACGCGCGCACAGCGCCGCGCACTCACCCCAGCTCGTGGCCGTGCGTCCCAGTAGCTCGTGCGTGCGCGCGTTCCAGAAGAACTCGCGCCAGTCGCCGGACACGCGGCGGGGCTCCTCCTTTGATCCCGACATGACGCTGAGGATGAAGAGGATGAAGATGCTGCCGAGTATCGATCGGACCGAGGATGATGAGGATGGAGGTGATGATGAAGGACACGGAGGCGCTGCGTTAAACCCTGCAGCGTTGACGTCACGCAGCCAATCGCAGAGCAGCTCTCGCCGAGGCCCCTCCCCCGCCTCTTATACACCGTGACGTCAGCGAGTAGACGTCTTACAGGTCTGCCGCCGGGAGGCTGTGACGTCACCGCCAAAGTTTTCTTTTTTAACTGTAAACAGCTGCAGGTTATGACGTCACACTTCCTGTTTGGGTAACAGCAGCAAACAAACCATCAACAGAAACAACAACCTAAACCCATCAGAACCGAACCTTTATTGCTGAAGCAGGGCTGTAGAAAAAGAAGGCAGACAGGGTCACAGGTAGAAATAGGTACATAGAACAGACTGCAACAGGAAATAGAAATATACAGATTAAAATTAGATAAAAGAGCAACTGAAGCTTAAATATACTGATGGAGAGAAGGTGGAACAGGAGGGTCCCTCTGCAGGTCTGAGACACCCGCTGGTGGACGGGTCCCCCTGCAGGTCTGAGACACATGCTGTGGACGGGTCCCTCTGCAGGTCTGAGACACATGCTGTGGACAGGTAGGGACCTGTCCCTTTGCAGGTCTGAGACACCTGCTGGTGGACGGGTCCCTCTGCAGGTCTGAGACACCCGCTGGTGGACAGGTCCCTCTGCAGGTCTGAGACACCTGCTGGTGGACGGGTCCCTCTGCAGGTCTGAGACACCCGCTGGTGGACGGGTCCCTCTGCAGGTCTGAGACACCTGCTGTGGACGGGTCCCTCTGCAGATCTGAGACACCCGCTGGTGGACGGGTCCCTCTGCAGATCTGAGACACCCGCTGGTGGACGGGTCCCTCTGCAGATCTGAGACACCCGCTGGTGGACGGGTCCCTCTGCAGGTCTGAGATACCCGCTGGTGGACGGGTTCCTCTGCAGGTCTGAGACACCCGCTGGTGGACGGGTCCCTCTGCAGGTCTGAGACACCCAATGGTGGACGGGTCCCTCTGCAGGTCTGAGACACCTGCTGTGGACGGGTCCCTCTGCAGATCTGAGACACCCGCTGATGGACGGGTCCCTCTGCAGATCTGAGACACCCGCTGGTGGACGGGTCCCTCTGCAGGTCTGAGACACCCGCTGGTGGACGGGTAGGGACCTGTCCCTCTGCAGGTCTGAGACACCTGCTGTGGACAGGTCCCTCTGCAGGTCTCCTTCCTGGAGGTGGACCATTTAGAGACATGTTAACCTTCTAGAATGTAGGTTCCAGTTAAGCCTCTAATGTACAGAAAACAGTTCAGAGATCCACGGGTTCTAGATGAGACCCTGAGGGAACGGGTCAGAGATTCATGGTTCTGGATCAGGTACTGACAGAACGGGTCAGAGATACACAGGTTGTGGATCCGGTACTGAGGGATCGGGTCAGAACCTCCCCCAGCTGAGAGAAGATCAGGCAAAGGTTCTTTAATGTTTAAGAAAACCAATCAGTAAAAGATCTTTGGGCTGATGGATACCAGGTTGGTCCACCAGAACATGGATCCCATCAGAACCAACCACTAGGTCTCAGTTTGCCAAATAACTGATTTCATAGGAAGCAGTAAATTGTTCTGGGTCTAAACTGAGCTGCTGGCCGGGTCAGAACCATATGGATCTCTCATTAAGTCAGGTCCTCAGAGACCTGAACCCCAATATCTGGTTCTAAAGTCTGTTTCTAACGTCTGGTTCTAACGTCCGGTTCTAGAGTCTGGTTCTAAAGTCTGGTTCTAATGTCTGGTTCTAACGTCCGGTTCTAAAGTCTTGTTCTAACGTCCGGTTCTAACGTCCGGTTCTAAAGTCTGGTTCTAAAGTCTGGTTCTAACGTCCGGTTCTAACGTCCGGTTCTAACGTCCGGTTCTAAAGTCTGGTTCTAAAGTCTGGTTCTAACGTCTGGTTCTAAAGTCTTGTTCTAACGTCCGGTTCTAAAGTCTGGATCTAACGTCCGGTTCTAAAGTCTGGTTCTAAAGTCTCGTTCTAACGTCTGGTTCTAAAGTCTTGTTCTAACGTCCGGCTCTAAAGTCTGGATCTAACGTTCGGTTCTCCCCTCTCTAACATTTTCAGAACCATTTAATAATTCCCTAGAAACTGCTCTGATTGGCTGCTGAAAGAAAAAACCCTCCTTCTTGCTGGTTCTGACCCGCTGGTCTCTCTGAAGCAGAACCAGGTTCTAAACCCCTCAGAGAAGCCAGAGTGTCAGAAAAACCTTCAGTCCAGGAAGCCCACCTGACTTTCAACACACATGATGATGATACGAACCTTGGATAAGGACACCTTCTAGTTGAGCTTTTCTAGACCAAAACAAATACAGATTATCATTGTAATAACATGAGCGCCTGCATAGAATAGTTCTGATCAGTTAGCCTCAGCCATTCAGAGGCTTCTAGCTCCACCTAGTGACCGATGGAGGAAACAGCAGTGACACAGCTGTCTGCTTCAGCTGTGTCACTGATCCCGAGGATCCTTTCAAAGGAGGTGAAGCAGGTCAATCCAGAACCACCAGAGACGTGCAGGGCTGGGCCCAAGCAGGAACAGAACCTTTAAGGAACCTCACAGGAACATTCTGGATCTAAGACCATCTGACCCAGAACCTTAGACCTTCTGCCAGACCTGGAGAGCAATAAGGACCTGATGAAGAACCAGACGGGTACAACTGACGGAGAACTTCAGGAACCACTTTATTTCTGAAATGTACTGCTTGTTTTATCAGAACCAGCCTCTCCTGGTTTTGGTACCGGCCTCACACAAAATCCTGCTTCAACCAACCCAACCACTGACCTGGTTCATAGCCCCGGAACCAAAGCTATGATCCAGAACCAAGGGACTGGACCAGAGCCAGAGATCTGGACCTGAACCAAGGCTCTGATTCGGAACCAAGGCTCTGACCTGGAACCGGGGATCTGGACCAGAACCAAGCCTCTGACCTGGAACCAAGGATCTGGACCAGAACCAAAGGTCTGATTCAGAACCAAAGCTCTGGACCAGAAAACAGGGATCTGGACCTGAACCAAGGCTCTGATCTGGAACGAAGGCTCTGATCCAGAACAAGACTGATTCAGAACCAGGGATCTGAACCAGAACTAAAGGTCAGATCCAGAACCATGGCTCTGATCCAGGATCGAGACTCTGACCTGGAACCAAGGCTGTGATCCAGAACCAAGGCTCTGACTTGGAACCAAGGATCTTGACCAGAACCAAGGGTATGGATCAGAACCAAGGATCTATCTGGAACTAGACTGATTCAGACCGGTTCTGTTACAGTTTATTCATATTCAGAACCGGTGAAAGAACCTTCTGGTGAGTTCTGGTTTTAGACCCGTGGTTGGTTCTACAGAGCATCCAGGGTGGTTCTGGACCCTGCAGCTTAAGAAGCAGAACTGGTGCTCTGAAGGTTTAGGAACCAAGTCACACTCCTGGCTGACAGTGGTTCTGTTCTGGAGCATTACCAGCAGTGCTGGTCCAGTTCTGGTTCAGGGATCCTCTGTCTGCTGCGTGTTCTGGAAACCAAAGCTCCAACTGGGTCCAAACTCCAGAACCAGTTAAGACCATTCTTCCGTCCTCTGCTGCAGTTTATCTGGTTCTTTTCGGATCTGTTCCTGCCGTGGAGCTGTGGTCTGGCTGTAGTCCATCAGAACCGGACGTGTCCTGAATGTGGGTCCGGTCCTCCTGGTCCAACCTCCTGGAGAAGGTTCCGGTCCATTGGCCTGTTGAGCTGGTAGTTCTGGACCAAAGCCTCAGCAGTCCAGTCGGTTCTGGTGAGGAGCGGTTCCATGTGTGGACCCGGGGCTTGGTGCAGAACCGGGTACGGCCCCACAACTGGTTCCCGCTCCAACAGAGAGGTTCCGTGAGCTCGGAGCGGGCCATCGGGCCCGTAAGGAGAAAGCGGCATTACTGACGGGTTCTGGGCCTGCAGCGGCTGGTTCTGATGGTCCATCTGGTACAGCTGCTTCTTGTGGACCTCACAGGGGTTCTGGTGGTCCAGTCTGGGATGGAAGAGCTGCTTCTTGGGAGGGTAAACCTGGTTCTGCTGCTCCAGCTGCTTCTTCTGGTTCTGAGCAGCTTCCTGGTTCTGGTACTGAGAGTTCTGGTCGCTCTGGTTCTGGGCGGGCTGTTTGTTCTGCTGGTCCAGTTGAGGCTGCTGCTTCTTTTGGTTCTGGTTCTCCTCCTGGTCCATCTGGGCATGGAACTGCTGCTTCTTCTGGCTCTGGATCTGGTTGTGGACCTGGTTCTTGATGTCCTTCCAGTGCCGCCCTTTGAGGACCGGTTCCTGGTCCAGACAGCGCTGGCAGACCTCCTTCCCCGGTACCGTCTGCAGCAGAACATGGACTCCCAGCTGCCTCCAGATGGCCTCCTTCTCCGCAGGCGACCAGGGCCGGCGCCGAACCTTCCTGGGAGACCCGGGAGCTACAGAACCAGAGACACAATCAGAACTTCATAGACTGCCGCGAGACGGGCTTATAGACCAGTGGTTCTGATGGACCGACCTGGGAGCAGGTTCAGAGGTCTGGATTCTGGAAGAATGACGGGGACTTCGGGTCGGGTTCCCAACCTGGAGAGAACTGCAGGAGAAAATGGGTCAGAACCTCAGGAGAAACGGATCAAAACCACAGGAGAACAGGGCTTGGATCAGAACAGTACCATCAGCGGGATCCAGTATAAAACATCTGGATCGAGCAGCGTTGGTGGACCTGCTTCTGGACTCTTCTCAGTACTTTGGTCTGGGTCAGAACCTACCGTCAGAACCCATAACCATCAGAACTTACCATCCGATCCGTCAGAACCTACCATCCGATCCATCAGGATCCAACCTCTGACCTGTCAGAAACTACCATCCGATCCGTCAGGATCCAACCTCTGACCTGTCATAAACTACCATCCGATTCGTCAGAACCTACCCTCTGAACCGTCAGAACCTACCCTCTGACACGTCAGAACCTACCCTCTGACACGTCAGAACCTACCCTCTGACACTTCAGAACCTACCCTATGAGACGTCAGAACCTACCTTCTGACACGTCAGAAACTACCATCCGATTCGTCAGAACCTACCATCCGATTCGTCAGAACCTACCATCCGATTCGTCGGAACCTACCCTCTGAACCGTCGGAACCTACCCTCTGAACCGTCGGAACCTACCCTCTGAACCGTCGGAACCTACTCTCTGAACCGTCGGAACCTACTCTCTGAACCGTCGGAACCTACCCTCTGAACCGTCAGAACCTACCCTCTGAACCGTCAGAAACAACTCTCTGAAACGTCAGAACCTACTCTCTGAACCGTCAGAACCTACCCTCTGACACGTCAGAAACAACTCTCTGAACCGTCGGAACCTACTCTCTGAACCGTCGGAACCTACTCTCTGAACCGTCGGAACCTACCCTCTGAACCGTCAGAACCTACCATCTGAACCGTCAGAACCTACCATCTGAACCGTCAGAAACAACTCTCTGAAACGTCAGAACCTACCCTCTGAACCGTCAGAACCTACCCTCTGAACCGTCAGAACCTACCCTCTGAACCGTCAGAACCTACTCTCTGAACCGTCGGAACCTACTCTCTGAACCGTCGGAACCTACTCTCTGAACCGTCGGAACCTACCCTCTGAACCGTCAGAACCTACCCTCTGAACCGTCAGAACCTACCATCTGAACCGTCAGAAACAACTCTCTGAAACGTCAGAACCTACCCTCTGAACCGTCAGAACCTACCCTCTGAACCGTCAGAACCTACCCTCTGAACCGTCAGAACCTACCCTCTGAACCGTCAGAACCTACTCTCTGAACCGTCAGAACCTACTCTCTGAACCGTCAGAACCTACCCTCTGAACCGTCAGAAACAACTCTCTGAACCGTCAGAACCTACTCTCTGAACCGTCAGAACCTACCCTCTGACCCGTCAGAACCTACCCTCTGAACCGTCAGAAACAACTCTCTGAACCGTCAGAACCTACCCTCTGAACCGTCAGAACCTACCCTCTGAACCGTCAGAACATACCATCTGATTTGTCAGGATCTACCCTCTGACACGTCAGAACCTACCCTCTGACACGTCAGAAACAACCTTCTGAACCGTCAGAACCTACCATCTGATTTGTCAGGACCTACCATCTGATTTGTCAGGATCTACCCTCTGACACGTCAGAACCTACCCTCCGACACGTCAGAACCTACCCTCTGACACGTCAGAACCTACCCTCTGACACGTCAGAACCTACCCTCTGACACGTCAGAACCTACCCTCTGACACGTCAGAACCTACCCTCTGACACGTCAGAAACAACTCTCTGAACCGTCAGAACCTACCCTCTGAACCGTCAGAACCTACCCTCTTAACCGTCAGAATCTACCCTCTTAACCGTCAGAATCTACCCTCTGAACCGTCAGAACCTACCCTCTGAACCGTCAGAACCTACCCTCTGAACCGTCAGAACCTACCCTCTGAACCGTCAGAACCTACCATCTGAACCGTCAGAACCTACCCTCTGAACCGTAAGAACCTACCATCTGATTTGTCAGGATCTACCCTCTGACACGTCAGAAACAACTCTCTGAACCGTCAGAACCTACCCTCTGAACCGTCAGAACCTACCCTCTTAACCGTCAGAATCTACCCTCTTAACCGTCAGAACCTACCCTCTTAACCGTCAGAATCTACCCTCTGAACCGTCAGAACCTACCCTCTGAACCGTCAGAACCTACCCTCTGAACCGTCAGAACCTACCATCTGAACCGTCAGAACCTACCCTCTGAACCGTAAGAACCTACCATCTGATTTGTCAGGATCTACCCTCTGACACGTCAGAACCTACCCTCTGACACGTCAGAAACAACCTTCTGAACCGTCAGAACCTACCATCCGGTCTCAGGTCCTTGCAGGTTCTCAACGAGTCGACTCGTTTCTTGGCTTTGGTTCCTCCCTTGGCTCCGTCTGCAGAAACAGAAGGTCAGCTGGTCCCACCACGTCCTCTGGGTTCAGAGCAGCCTGAGGAGCAGGTCTCACCTGGTTCTGGACGGGGGTTCTGCAGGCCCAGGTTGTCCCACTCCCGGCCCAGTAGGTGGTAGAAGTCGGTGGTTCTGGCGGCAGCCTCCCAGTCTCCGTCCTGCAGACTCTCAGAGATGGCCACCTCGCAGACCGTCTTCAGAGTGGTCTTCACCGCCAGTGGGGGCCGGCTCCAGCGGTACCCGGCCGCCTTCTTAGCGGCGGACAGCGCCAGGCTAAGCCGACCCGGAACCAGCAGGTCCTGCAGGGACCGGACCTGCGAGTCCAGAGACTTGGCTGCCAGCAGCAGGCGTCCAAGCTCCCGCAGCTTCTGGCTGACGTACTCATAGCTCCGCTGGCTGCCGTCTTGGCTCCCCATCAGCTTGTTGCCGTAGCGACAGATCAGCCAATCGGACTTCACCTGGGTAGGGAAAAAGGGGAGGAGTCAGAGAGAAGGCGTGGCGTCTCAGAGAGGGAACCCTTGGGCGGTTGCTGACCTCGTGGGAGACGCTGTCCTGGTTCATGCGGTGCAGGATCTCGCTGCAGCTCTCTGACGCACCGCCGGAGATGGGCAGCAGGCGGGACGCCGCCGCCTGGACCCGGGCCCGCTTCTTAGGCTGGTTCTGGGCTGTGTTTTGGTTCTGATCCGGCTCGGGGTCAGTGACCATGGCCGCAGTGTCGTCTTGTTCAGAGCTCGGGTCCGGGGCCTCTCCAGAACTATCGCCACAGGCTGGGTCAGCTGACTGTCCTGAGGCAGGGACAGACGGGTCGGCGCCATCCTCTGCCGAGTCGATGGACAGCTTCTTCCTGCAGGTCACCTGATGCTTCCAGAGGTCAGCGCGCAGGAAGAAGCCCAGGCACAGGGGGCAGGGCAGGTAGTTCCTGGCGTCCACCTCCTCTGAGGGCTGACGCCATGGGACGATCTCACCGCGGCCCTGACGGATCACCTGAGGGATGACAGAAGGCCTGTTACCAAGGGAACCAGCAGGCTGGCTCAGAGCCACAGATGCTAGAAACAGGCTGGACCAGAACCAGGACTGAGGTTCCTGTGGTCCACCTCCTGGACCCTCTGCAGATACAACCCTTCCTCCCCATTCAAAGATGTCTTTGAATTGATAAATGGTCTATAGTTCTATACCGCCTTTTTAAGTCAGGAGACTTCAAAGCATTTTACATTCATCCGTTCACACACACACTCACACTGATGGTGGTGAGCTACATTGTAGCCACAGCTGCCCTGGGGCTCACTGACAGAAGCGAGGCTGCCGTAGACTGGTGCCACTGGACCCTCTGACCACCATCAGTAGGCAATGAAGGTGAAGTATCTTGCCCAAGGACACAACGACGCTGAAAGCCAGGGCTTGAACCGTCAACCCTTCGAGTTCAGGGCAAACTCCAACGCCACTGTTGCCATTAAACTGTCAGCAGAAGGAACAAAGTCCCTGCTGGAAGGAACCTCGACATTCAACAACAACCGCTCCAACAACCTGATTGGTCAAAGTTATAAAATGTCTCTTTTTAAGGTAAGGTGACCCCAGAACTCCACAGTCATTCACCAATTCACTGATGGTAGTGAGCTCCACTACGGCACTGAATCCACGACCCTTCAGTTGCAGGGCGACTCCTGCATCCACTGTTGGCCCATAAGGTCCTCAAGATGTTCTGGTGGGACCAAGATGTCTGCTTCTTTCTCTGAGGATTCAGCTCTAATCTGACGCTAACGTTTCTATCTTCTAAAATATGACAGAATGGTCCTTTAAGACGAGTTCACACCCTCTGCTAGCCGTTAGCCGTTAGCTCCTTCCTCTGAGGATTCAGCTCTAATCTGATGCTTACGTTTTAATCCACTAAAATAATAGCCGTTAGCTCTGTCCTCTCATCTAAACAGGTCATGTCTCCTAATGAGTGAGAGAAGCCTGCATCCTTCTGACTCGTAACTCGCCACGTTTCTCAGACCTAAAGACAAACATCGGGGCTGCGTTCACTTCTCTGATTCAGCTCTGATAAAACGGAACAGTTGCTAACTCGCTACGTTTCTCAGACCTAAAGACAAACATCGGGGCTGCGTTCACTTCTCTGATTCAGCTCTGATAAAACTGAACAGTTGCTAACTCGCTACGTTTCTCAGACCTAAAGACAAACATCGGGGCTGCGTTCACTTCTCTGATTCAGCTCTGATAAAACGGAACAGTTGCTAACTCGCTACGTTTCTCAGACCTAAAGACAAACATCGGGGCTGCGTTCACTTCTCTGATTCAGCTCTGATAAAACTGAACAGTTGCTAACTCGCTACGTTTCTCAGACCTAAAGACAAACATCGGGGCTGCGTTCACTTCTCTGATTCAGCTCTGATAAAACTGAACAGTTGCTAACTCGCTACGTTTCTCAGACCTAAAGACAAACATCGGGGCTGCGTTCACTTCTCTGATTCAGCTCTGATAAAACGGAACAGTTGCTAACTCGCTACGTTTCTCAGACCTAAAGACAAACATCGGGGCTGCGTTCACTTCTCTGTTTTAGCTCTGATAAAACTGAACAGTTGCTAACTCGCTACGTTTCTCAGACCTAAAGACAAACATCGGGGCTGCGTTCACTTCTCTGATTCAGCTCTGATAAAACGGAACAGTTGCTAACTCGCTACGTTTCTCAGACCTAAAGACAAACATCCAGGCTGCGTTCACTTCTCTGATTCAGCTCTGATAAAACTGAACAGTTGCTAACTCGCTACGTTTCTCAGACCTAAAGACAAACATCGGGGCTGCGTTCACATCTCTGATTCAGCTCTGATAAAACAGAACAGTTGCTAACTCGCTACGTTTCTCAGACCTAAAGACAAACATCGGGGCTGCGTTCACTTCTGTGATTCAGCTCTGATAAAACGGAACAGTTGCTAACTCGCTACGTTTCTCAGACCTAAAGACAAACATCGGGGCTGCGTTCACTTCTCTGATTCAGCTCTGATAAAACTGAACAGTTGCTAACTCGCTACGTTTCTCAGACCTAAAGACAAACATCGGGGCTGCGTTCACTTCTCTGTTTTAGCTCTGATAAAACTGAACAGTTGCTAACTCGCTACGTTTCTCAGACCTAAAGACAAACATCGGGGCTGCGTTCACTTCTCTGATTCAGCTCTGATAAAACTGAACAGTTGCTAACTCGCTACGTTTCTCAGACCTAAAGACAAACATCGGGGCTGCGTTCACTTCTCTGATTCAGCTCTGATAAAACTGAACAGTTGCTAACTCGCTACGTTTCTCAGACCTAAAGACAAACATCGGGGCTGCGTTCACTTCTCTGATTCAGCTCTGATAAAACGGAACAGTTGCTAACTCGCTACGTTTCTCAGACCTAAAGACAAACATCGGGGCTGCGTTCACTTCTCTGTTTTAGCTCTGATAAAACTGAACAGTTGCTAACTCGCTACGTTTCTCAGACCTAAAGACAAACATCGGGGCTGCGTTCACTTCTCTGATTCAGCTCTGATAAAACTGAACAGTTGCTAACTCGCTACGTTTCTCAGACCTAAAGACAAACATCGGGGCTGCGTTCACTTCTCTGATTCAGCTCTGATAAAACTGAACAGTTGCTAACTCGCTACGTTTCTCAGACCTAAAGACAAACATCGGGGCTGCGTTCACTTCTCTGTTTTAGCTCTGATAAAACTGAACAGTTGCTAACTCGCTACGTTTCTCAGACTTAAAGACAAACATCGGGGCTGCGTTCACTTCTCTGTTTTAGCTCTGATAAAACTGAACAGTTGCTAACTCGCTACGTTTCTCAGACCTAAAGACAAACATCGGGGCTGCGTTTACTTCTCTGTTTTAGCTCTGATAAAACTGAACAGTTGCTAACTCGCTACGTTTCTCAGACCTAAAGACAAACATCGGGGCTGCGTTCACTTCTCTGTTTTAGCTCTGATAAAACTGAACAGTTGCTAACTCGCTACGTTTCTCAGACCTAAAGACAAACATCGGGGCTGCGTTCACTTCTCTGTTTCAGCTCTGATAAAACTGAACAGTTGCTAACTCGCTACGTTTCTCAGACTTAAAGACAAACATCGGGGCTGCGTTCACTTCTCTGTTTTAGCTCTGATAAAACTGAACAGTTGCTAACTCGCTACGTTTCTCAGACCTAAAGACAAACATCGGGGCTGCGTTCACTTCTCTGATTCAGCTCTGATAAAACTGAACAGTTGCTAACTCGCTACGTTTCTCAGACCTAAAGACAAACATCGGGGCTGCGTTCACTTCTCTGATTCAGCTCTGATAAAACGGAACAGTTGCTAACTCGCTACGTTTCTCAGACCTAAAGACAAACATCGGGGCTGCGTTCACTTCTCTGATTCAGCTCTGATAAAACTGAACAGTTGCTAACTCGCTACGTTTCCCAGACCTAAAGACAAACATCGGGGCTGCGTTCACTTCTCTGATTCAGCTCTGATAAAACTGAACAGTTGCTAACTCGCTACGTTTCTCAGACCTAAAGACAAACATCAGGGCTGCGTTCACTTCTCTGATTCAGCTCTGATAAAACTGAACAGTTGCTAACTCGCTACGTTTCTCAGACCTAAAGACAAACATCAGGGCTGCGTTCACTTCTCTGATTCACTCTGATAAAACTGAACAGTTGCTAACTAGCTACATTTCTCAGACCTAAAGACAAACATCGGGGCTGCGTTCACTTCTCTGATTCAGCTCTGATAAAACTGAACAGTTGCTAACTCGCTACGTTTCTCAGACCTAAAGACAAACATCGGGGCTGCGTTCACTTCTCTGATTCAGCTCTGACAAAACAGAACAGTTGCTAACTCGCTACGTTTCTCAGACCTAAAGACAAACATCGGGGCTGTGTTCACTTCTCTGATTCAGCTCTGATAAAACTGAACAGTTGCTAACTCGCTACGTTTCTCAGACCTAAAGACAAACATCGGGGCTGCGTTCACTTCTCTGATTCAGCTCTGACAAAACAGAACAGTTGCTAACTCGCTACGTTTCTCAGACCTAAAGACAAACATCGGGGCTGTGTTCACTTCTCTGATTCAGCTCTGATAAAACTGAACAGTTGCTAACTCGCTACGTTTCTCAGACCTAAAGACAAACATCGGGGCTGCGTTCACTTCTCTGTTTTAGCTCTGATAAAACTGAACAGTTGCTAACTCGCTACGTTTCTCAGACCTAAAGACAAACATCGGGGCTGCGTTCACTTCTCTGATTCAGCTCTGATAAAACTGAACAGTTGCTAACTCGCTACGTTTCTCAGACCTAAAGACAAACATCGGGGCTGCGTTCACTTCTCTGATTCAGCTCTGATAAAACTGAACAGTTGCTAACTCGCTACGTTTCCCAGACCTGAAGACAAACATCGGGGCTGCGTTCACTTCTCTGATTCAGCTCTGATAAAACTGAACAGTTGCTAACTCGCTACGTTTCTCAGACCTAAAGACAAACATCGGGGCTGCGTTCACTTCTCTGATTCAGCTCTGATAAAACTGAACAGTTGCTAACTCGCTACGTTTCCCAGACCTGAAGACAAACATCGGGGCTGCGTTCACTTCTCTGATTCAGCTCTGATAAAACTGAACAGTTGCTAACTCGCTACGTTTCTCAGACCTAAAGACAAACATCGGGGCTGCGTTCACTTCTCTGATTCAGCTCTGATAAAACTGAACAGTTGCTAACTCGCTACGTTTCTCAGACCTAAAGACAAACATCGGGGCTGCGTTCACTTCTCTGATTCAGCTCTGATAAAACTGAACAGTTGCTAACTCGCTACGTTTCTCAGACCTAAAGACAAACATCGGGGCTGCGTTCACTTCTCTGTTTTAGCTCTGATAAAACTGAACAGTTGCTAACTCGCTACGTTTCTCAGACCTAAAGACAAACATCGGGGCTGCGTTCACTTCTCTGATTCAGCTCTGATAAAACTGAACAGTTGCTAACTCGCTACG